GGGCGCACGAGACCCTCGCCAGAGCCCGGGGCGCGCGCGGCGGCGCTCCCGCCAGTCCCGAGAGCGGGGTGCCGTCCGGAATCGCGCTCTGCCGGCGCTGGTGCCGGGCCGCCCGGGTCAAGTCCGAGCCCCGCCGCGGCGGCGGCCTCTCGCCGCGCCCCCTCCTCCTTCCCCTCCGCTGCCGCCACTGCCGCCTCCGCGCCGTGCGCCGCCCGGATGGCCAGGGCTGTGCCGGGGAATGGCGGAGCGAGAGAGCGGCGGCCCGAGCGGGGGGGCCGCGTCCCCGCCTGCCGCCTCCCCGTTCCTGGGGCTCCACATCGCGTCGCCGCCCAATTTCAGGTGAGAATCCCTGGCCTCCGCGCCCCGCCCTTCAGCCGGGACGGATCTCGGCTCGCCCGCCACCGCACCCCGCTCCGCCCCCAGCTCACACACACCAGACCTCCTCCGGAAATGAGAGGGCGGCCTGGGTATGGGGTCTCTTCCCTGGAAAGAGCCCCCAGAACCCCCTCAGCCTCAAGTCCAGACTTACAGCCGCTGCATAGCCGTGGTGCAGCCAGCTCCCTCCGCCATTCCATGTCCTAGGCTGGGAGATTCTGAGCTGAAACCGGAGGAGGGGGCGCGGAGGCTGCCTTCTCCCCCACTTTGTGGCCTGGGGTCGGGTTGAGCTCTCAGAGGAGGCAGGCAGGCTTGCTGTGCCCAGGCCGAAGCCTGCCGTAAAGATGGGAGAAGGCTGGGTGTCCCGCGGGTCCCAGTTTCTTAGGGCAACCGACAACCTTGGTGCTGGAAGGAGGGAGTCGTGGGCCCCTCCCCCAGCCCTGCCTGGCCAGGACCCTCTGTGGATGTGGACAAGCACCGACTTTGTCAGGTGTGTGCAGGTGCAGAAGGCCCCGTCTTAGCCCAGAGATCCTAGGCCCAGCTGGGGGAGGGGGAGACTGGAATGGATGGCCCAGGTACAGCCAGGAACATTGGGGAGGGGGATCCCTGCTGGAGTAAGTATCCAGGACCCTGATCTGAGCTCCTCTTCACTCCACTTCCTGCCCCCTATCTGGTGCTAGGCAATTGGAAGGTGGATTTCAGAGAGGTGGACAGTGGGTGTTGTGGGGAAGGGTTGATGTGCCTTCCCCATAATCCTGGCCTTAGTTGGAGAGGAGGATGAGGAGGTATCTCTGCCCCAGAGCCTAGGAGAAGGAGGCCTAGACCTACCCCATTGTTTTTCCATCTAATGAGCTGATGCCTTCCCCTCTCCTGGGGTTCCCACCCCAGCCAGGCCCCAGCTGGGCTCTGGCGCCAGCCCCTCTTCCCACCAGGGGCTTGCTGGCTGCCTGGCCCTCAGGTGGGCAGGGACCCCAGTGGATTTCTAATGGCATCATCAGGGCTAGAAACCTCCCCTGAGGCCCTGAGCTGAGCTGGGAAGACCAGCGGGAGGGGACCAGATGGAGGAGGCCAGGCCTGAAGGCTCAAGGGTTGGGGCCTTTGTGATTAGTGCCTCAGGGTAACAAGGCTGAGGTCTGAGACTGACTCCACCTGGAAGGACACACGCTGCCTCTGGACAGGCACTGCCCTCCTACCTGGAGGCCCCCCTGCAATGGGAGTACAATGGGCTTAGGGGAACCTGGGTTCAAATCCTAGCTCCACCCCTTTCTAGCTGCATTACCTGGGCAGATGTTTGCCCTCCTTGAGTCCCATCTCTTTGGTGAGCTATTAATATTATTGGTCTCTTATGTACCTGTTAAGCTGGTGGTTAACAAGTGTCAGCCGTCCCTCCGTACCAGCGGGCATTTAAATAGCCCCTTTCTGTTCAAACAGTTTCCCAGTGCTGGCTATTTAGCTCTCGTAGCCACCCTGGGCGTGGGGATTGGTCTACCCATTCTCCACACAAGGAGGCTGAGCTTCAGGGAGGCAGGAGGCTTGCCCAAGGACCTCGAGTAAGGCAGAGCCTGAGGCTGAACTGGATCCAGGTCTGTGTGTTCAATCCACTCTACCTGCAGGTCTTGCCTCTGGCCCAGAGCACGGCTTTGCCTCCCCTCAGCTGCCTCCTGGTCCCCAGGGGACAGTGCTCTCCATCCCTCCCTGCCCCCTGCAGGCAGGTTGTCGTGGACATTTGAGGAAGAAGAGTGACAAGGTGGATGCCAGCCAGTGAGTGTGTCCAGTCCCGGGCAAGGTGGGCAAGGGTGGCAGTACGTCAAGGCTGGGGCATGGGCCGGCCCTCCAGGACACCATGGCCTGGCTGTGGAGACAAGGCCGGCTCGTGGGAATAATCAGAGCAGTGTCTCCAGCCCCACATGGCCTGCCCTGTTGGCTCCAGCTGTCCCCGCTGCCCTTTCCCTTGTCCAGCCTCTCAGATCCCTTAGCCTAGCTCGTTGT